AAGTACATTCATCAGCACTGAAAAGGGAGTTCCATTCATCTCATCTCTCCCAAGCAGTGATGGGAATTACCAGACATTGCCAGGTGCAAGACTGGGGCAGCACACTGGTCTCTTCTTCGTGTTCCCTGCTTCACCCTCCCCAGGACTCTTGGCACATAGTGGTTCATTAATGCTGCAGTGTGGCTCTTGTGCCCACACTGAAGTGGGTGGGTCCGGGTGCATTTTCTTTGCCTCCTGCACTGCCTCTTCTGTACATGACTGGCAGGCTGCCCTTCCTGAGGCATGCCTTTGCCTGTGTCTCTCTAGATCACCCTGAAGCTAGAGGAGAGTCCTGTTTCCTTAGCTGGCCTTCTGTGTCTCTTGCACACACTAGTAGTGATCACACCAAGCTTTTCTGTCCACGCCCTGTCCTCTGTCCTTCTCTTGGCCCTTGCCCAAGTCATATGCATTTCTGCTCTTAGCCCTGTATGGATGGAGCACATGTGAAACACAGCTCAGACTGTATTAGTGGGGCTGGGGGCCAGATGACAAGCCTCCCATACTCCGAGCACGTCTGAAATACTGTACTCCCGAGAAGCTTTTCACTGCAGTGCTTCCAGAGGATAGCAGCCAGGGTTGTGTGGGGGGCTGGTTACTGTCCCATGAGGAATAGCTGAGTAAGCCAGGGGCCTCTAACCAGGAGCAGATCTGTCATGATGGCTTCCTGTGGAAAGGAACACAGACTTGCGCATTCTGCAAGTATAGCAGAATGCACACTTGGAGATGATTTAGGGAGCAGGTTTTGGCTGAATGTGAGAACTTTGCCATACTTGGCGTTGGCAGTTGACTGTTGAGAGCTCTCCTTGTTGAGTACAAACCTGAGTTAGGTGTTGTGGTAAGCACTTTATGTAACTTCCTCAGTCCCCACACCCACACTGCTTGTTGAAGTGCTGGTTTTACAAATTAAGCAGACTCTGGTTTAATAACGTGATGCATTGTCACGTAGGTGGTCAGTGGCAGAGTTCACATTAGAACAAGAACCAGGTCTGAACTCAGGCCCTCTTCGTAACTATTGTCCTTCTCTCAGGAGTATTGAATAAGGGCAGACTAACCACTTCCTAGGGGCACTGCAGAAAAATTTCTGTGTAGGAGGCATTGTACTTTGTGGCCCCAGGAGCCCCTTCTGACCCTGACATTGTAACCTCAGTCTCCACCTCACCGGTAGATGCTGCCTTCACACTGCAGCTGTGTGGTGGCACACCCTCCAGCCAGCCTTCCCCTGGCAGCCTACATGCAGCATGTAGGGGCCACTGATTTGGCCCTCACTGAGCTTAGCTGTGCATGTGTCTCACTTCACAGGGCCAGCAGACTGTCATCTCTCCTCTACCCCAGCACCCAGTGGCTACTTCACATGGTGGACATTTGATCTGGTCACTCTCACAGCTACTCTAAGTACATCAGTATGTTTCTTTCTAAAATCCCAGGATAGAATATGTAACAGTGACTCCGGAGGGATTCCGGTACCGGGGCCAAATCTTCCCAACTGTGAATGGACTTTTCAGATGGTTTAAGGATCACTACCAGGATCCTGTACCAGGTAAGTTCTGTTCTCCCTCACCTTCTGGGGTGTGGTTGGAAGGACATGTGTAGCCTGACTGAAGTGATCATTGGCCCTGGTAGGCTGTCCTTGTAACTTGTCTCACTCCTGCCCCAGTCTTCCAGCCCCTAGTCCCTCCTAGGGAGGGCCTATACAAGTTCCCCTCCACCTCTCCCAGCCCCTGAACTGGGAAGCCAGAAATAGGTTTCTGGGGGGACAAAACTAATTCCAGCCATTTCCCACAGGCATTACCCCCAGCAGCAGCAGCAGAACGAGGACTCCTGCCTCTATCAATGCTACCCCAGCCAACATCAACCTGGCAGGTGAGGCACCTGGGGCTAGGACTGGAAGGGATGGAGCTGGGGCACTTTCACCTCTGACGTGCTGATCCTCACCTTTGTGCTTACAGATCTGACTCGGGCTGTGAATGCCCTGCCCCAGAACATGACTTCGCAGATGTTCAGTGCCATTGCTGCTGTGACAGGCCAGGGTCAGAACCCTAACGCTACCCCAGCTCAGTGGGCCTCCAGCCAGTATGGCTACGGTGGCAGCGGAGGAGGCAGCAGTGCTTACCATGTATGTGGCTTGGGGAGGAGGCTACCTGCGTGGGGTGGTAAGGAATGAGGGAACAGTTGTCTCTTACCGACTTACATTCCTTAGATATCTCTGGCCATGTCCACCTTGAAGAGCTTCATTTGCATAGATGGGACTGCCTCAGCCTTAAGCACCATCTCCAATAGACGTTCCTTTTCTCTAGCCCATTTGATAGGGAAGGGAATAAGAGGGGGTTCTCCCTTTCCAGAATCCTTTAGGATATTTGGAACCCTCAAGCCATTAGAAATCTGAAGTGTTTGGGACTGGTGGGCTTGTGTGCCTGTGACATATTGCTAGCCTCCCTCTGCTGCTCAGAACCAGTCTGCTCAGGAGCCAATCAGCTCCAAAGCTCTGTGCTGAGCCCACCCTTGCAAATCCCAGAAATCTGCATCAAAATCAAACAAGCCCACAACCCATCTCCACTGATCTGTCCATACCTCTCCAGGTATTCCCGACGCCAGCCCAGCAGCCAGTGGCCACACCACTAATGACCCCCAGCTATTCCTACACAACCCCAAGCCAACCCATCACCACGCCACAGTACCACCAGCTCCAGGCCAGCACCACTCCACAGTCTGCCCAGGCCCAGCCCCAGCCCTCCTCCAGCTCCCGGCAACGGCAACAGCAGCCAAAGTAAGTATACAGATAGCCGCCCAGGACAAGTTATTGGTAGGAACAGGTGTTATCATGAGGACCAGGGGAGCTTAGGATACAAAGGTGCTCTTGATCCTCTGTGGGGACTCAGGGCAATGGTTTGGAGTGAAAGATCAAAAGGCCACTGTGAGTCGGAGCATGGTGGCACACACCTGTAATCCCAGCACTCGGGAGGCTGAAGCAGGAGGATCGTTGCAAGTTCAAGGCCAACCTGAACTGCATAGTGAGATCCTGTCTCAAAAAGACATAAATAAATAAATTTTTAAAAGGCCACTGTGGCATTTGGCCACTGCTGCTTCTGCTCTGCCACAGCAAGGGGACTACTGCCTATGCTTGACCTCTGGGCACTCACCAGTGACTGGTGGAAAGGCTTCCTTAACAGCAAGCCCCAGAGGAGAGCTGATCTCAAAGACCCTTCCTTTCTCCTCTCAGGTCCAACAGCCATGCAGCCATCGACTGGGGAAAGATGGCGGAGCAGTGGTTGCAAGAGAAGGAGGCAGAAAGGCGGAAACAGAAGCAGCGGCTGACACCCCGGCCCTCCCCCAGCCCCATGATCGAAAGCACCCCCATGTCCATTGCTGGCGATGCCACCCCGCTCCTGGATGAGATGGATCGGTAGGAGGCCTGCTTTTTGGACTCTGGTTACCTCTGAGGCTGTGAAAGGCCTACCACCGCCTCACTCCCCGCCCTCTTTTTCTGTCCATAAATGGTGTGAAGTGGCAGTCTCTTTGGTGGTCGGCCTGGATGGGTGACAGACTGATGGCCTTGTGAGCTTGAGCTCAGTGTATGCCAGGCAGCAGTTTTCCCACTTCAGACGTTCACAGACCACCCGTCCTGGGACCAGGGTGGGAGGGAGTATGGCAGGGAGGAAGAAGATGAGAGAGTGGAGCAGTTTTGTTTTCTGCTCCATACAAGCCATTTTGAGCTTCTGCCCTCACCTGACTCTGGGCTGTGAAGGGGCACCAAGCTCAGCATGTGTGTTTCCCCCAGCCTTTGTGGGGAGAGGGATGCTATTTATTCAGTTTGGGGCAGGAAGGAGAGGAGGGAAAGCGTTTCTGATCCTGGTTACATCCTGGTGGCTGTCAAAGCAGGACTGTGGGGGACATAAGGGAACAGTGCTAACCTGCCAGCCCCTGCCTGGTCATCCACCTGCTGCCACTGCGCTTCCTGCCTGTCATTTGAATAAACAGTGTTTCTACAGAGCACTCGCCCAAGCTTCCCTCTCTCCAGCTCTCCGCTCAACAGGTGGTTTCAGAGCAGAGCTTCTGCTTCAGACTGCGTGAGGTTACTGTCCTGTGCCATCTTTTGTTGTGTTAAGCTGGCTTTCCTATCTGAGATGGTGTGCTCGCTTCGGCAGCACACGTACTAAAATTGAAAGGGAGATGGTGATACCCGCATTACCAGTCTGCTGTGAGGACCTGCCATGCCAGGTGTGAACTACTTAGCACAGTGCCTGGTGCTTCATAAATACGAGCTACTGTTATCACATGGACGCAGCTGCCTGCTGACTCTGCGGCCAGTCTTGCCTGCATAGTAGAGAAAGTGCTTCCTAAAGTAAATCTAGAGCCCCTCAACTTGAGCCCCTGTACTCCCCTTTTACCCCCTGCCCAGCTATTCCTTGGTCTCTGACAACCCCTAAATGAATCAGGGTTTCTGCCACACACACTTGCACACTGCTCCCACACAGAGGCCTGGGGAAGGGGAACCGGGATGTTGCAGGGGAGTCCACTTCCCACCCCAACCCCTCTTCCTGGCTTGGGCCCAGCCAGCCCTTTGGCTCCAGTCCCTCTTCCCCACCCCACACCACAGCTCCACTGATTCTTTGTTCTAAATCCTGATCACTCAGTTTTCTCACAAGAGCTTCATCTCACAGCTTTGTGAGTCACTGCTGGGACATGAGGCTTCTCCCTCCCTTTCCTCTGCATGGGGCAAAGCAAAAAGTCAGAAAGGGCCACTGCTGCCCAGACTTGGTGAGCTCCCTCCCCTTGCTCTTCAGTCAGGAGCTCTTTGGCTGTGTGTTGGCAAGAGCCAGGGGAAGGGGCTGGCTTAAGCACAAAAGTTCTGCAAGGGTCTAGCAGGAACAGGACCACAACGGACAGGAAGGTCATGTCCCCTGTGGTGCCGTAAGCACCTTCCCTAGGGCCACATAAGGAGGGAAAGGCCAGGCACAGTAGCAGAGAGGGTGAAAAGGTCCAGTTTATTGGTGGTACTGCTGCATAGTACTGCCCTATCCCAGAAGTAGGTTTCACATGTACCAGTCTCCCAGGGGCAGGAAGCCCACCCTCCTGCCCCAGCCCAGAGGTACTCTTCTACCCTGGTCCTAGGATGGTACAAAGAAACACCTGTCCCTCTGTTTCCCTCCCACTTATCTTCCCATGGATTTCCTTGGAAGCTGCATTGCCCTTAGGAAACCCCCCCCCCCCCGTCCCTGGCCCTTGGTTCCAGTATGCTCGGAGCTCTCTGCCTCCCGCAAGAAGTAGCCCTGTTGGAAGGAAAATAGCAGCAGGAGGTGAGCTACCGGCTTGATGCCATTTATTCTTCATGCTGCTCTCAACTGAGATTGGGGCTGGACAGTGGGGGAGATTTCCTCTTGGTCACCTTCCTGGCTTGTGAGGAGGTCTTTGTCCCATTCTTCTTGGCCTGGGTGGTGCTCTTCTCCCTTCTTCTGGGTGATGACGACTCCAGGATATCCTCACTAGAGTGTTCGTCTTGCTGCTTCTTGTGGTAACTGTCCTCACTGTCCAGGTCTGCGCGGCTTTCTGGGCTGGACTCTGACATCCGGGCCAACTCTCTTGGGCTCAAATCTGCAGGTGAAGACTCTGATTTCACTGGACTTTTCTTCTTCATCAACTTCCCCTTCTTGACTTTTTTCTTCGGTTTTGCCTTCTCATCTGTCATTTCCTCCTCTTTGTCTTTGTCTTTTTCGTTTTCCTTTTTCTTCTTTATCTTCTTGATCACCTTGTTACCCTGGCCCTTCCCTGTGGGGCTCTCAGAGCGCCAGATGGTGATGGGCGCTGCTGAGTCAGGGGCCCCAGGGACTGTGCCCATGCCCAGGTCAGTGGGCATAACAATGGGTCCCACCTGGGTTGGGATGGAAGGCTTGCTTTCTTCTTCCTCCTCTTCCTCTTCTTCTTCTTCCTCATGTAGGTCATCTGTCCCACACTCATGGTGGATAGGATGGTGGATCACTGCCACGGAGACAGGCCTGTAGCTTTTGCACCTGGGAGGAGGAGGACATAAAGAGAAGGTTGACAGATTGGAACCCCTGGAGCCCCTCCTCCCTCAGCCTGCCAGCACGCACCAGCCATACCAGAACCGCTCCACACACTTTTCCTCTGGGATGAGCGGAAAGCAAGGGCTCTGGCTGATGTTGAAGCAGGTTGAGCCCACATCTCGGGAGCAGGTTGAATTCGAGTCCCAAGAGCTGCTGCTGTTTGCCTTCTCTGAGCAGTCCTTTAGCCTGCCACACATGGGACTCTGACCACATGTGGTTCCTTGACCACCACAACCCCCAGGGGTCCAGAGAAAGAAGGCAGAGGGACTGTGGGCTGTGGCTAGGGTTGACCAGACTGCTGAAAGACTTCCCCCTTGCTCTTGGAGCACAACAAGGTTTCCTAGCTGGGGTTGGGCTAGCACTGCCAAGCCAAAGCTAAAGAGCAAAACCAAAGGCTGAGGGGGAGACAGAGAGTGGGGGCTCTGCCATGGATCCCCCAAGGAGGGTCCTCTCACCTGGAGTCACAGTCACAGCGGCCGACAGAGTGTAGATGCAGGTTGTGGTGGCCACAGTCAGAGAAGGGGTGGATGATGTGCCTGGCACACTGTGTGTGTTTCCAGCAGCACCTGTCAGACTCCTTGCATTCACCTGAGAGAGGGGCATCCTCAATCCAAAGGCCTCACTGAATTTATATGCCCCCACCCAGTAGTTCTGTCAGTACTGGTAAGAGCACTGCCTGTCTGCCACCCACTGCAGGAAGCATCTGCTCTTGCAGGCTCCCTGGAAAATGTGTAGTGCCCTGTCTGGTATACAGGAGGTCCTCCCAAGTCCCCCACTCTGCCCTGTGACATCCTGTCACTTAATTCCCCTTCCTTCTACAGGAGTTCACCTTCCAGGCCCTCTGCTGACTCCTGCCCTCACCCAGCAGCTAAGAATTAACAGCTGCTGGGCTCATCTGACCTTCACGGGCCCTGATGCACTTTGGCCCCAAAACATGGTGTGGCAACCCAAGCCTAGAGAAGCACAGACCTGACCACTGCAGCATGCTTTTTTTTTTTTTTTTTTTTTTTTTTTTTTTTTTTTTTGCTTGCTTTGGAACCGGGAATCGAACTCACAACCTCATGCTTGCCAGGCAGGTGCTTGTGCCACTGAGCTATATCCCCAGCCCCTGTTTCTCACTTTGAGACAGGGTTCACAGGCTGGCCTGGAACTTGTGATCCTCTTATGATCCGTCTTGCCTTAGCCCCCGAGGATGTTTGTATCACCACACCCAGCTCCTGCACTGATCCTTCTTGCTCATCCCTCCCCTGCCCACTTTCATTCTCCTTCCAGCCCCTTTCCTTCCGGCTCCTGACACTTTTCACTTTCTCACTTCTCCCTATCCCACCCTCCCCTCCATCCTGCCCTTGCTCCATATTCAAGTTCCCATTCTCTCCCCTAGAAGCACAGAGTTAACAACCCACACCAGCCTGCATCCCCTGTACCCTGTCAGGCAGCACAGATGCCAGGTCCACTTTCTCAGCAAACAAGCTGCTGGGATGGGAACTAGGGTTAGGACAGTCCCCTTGAATAAAGGCTCCTGCCGCCTCCGCTCAGCTGCGTGAGTTTCCCATGGCAGCCCCTGCTGCTTCACCTCTGTCCCTGCTTTGGGCTCCAGTCCACCCTGGCTCTCCCCTTCGCACCATCTAAAACATAAACCCATTAGGTAATTGTGTACCTCTCCTGGGCCAGAAGCCCAAGATCTCACACTCCAGGCAGGGGACGATGAGGGGCCCTCTTGCCTGTGCCCCTGGCATGAGATGACCGCGGGAGGAAGTGGGCTGGACTGATGAGTTCCTTGGCGGCCCGGCAGAACACGCTGGCTGGCTAGGCTTCCTCACGGGCCGTAAGGATTGTGCCTCTATCCAACTCCCACAAGCGGCAGAATTGGGGCAAGAGCTCATGCTGGCCACCAGCCAGGAACAAACCCAGGCCAAGGGTATGGAAGGCAAGGTGGCCAAAAAGTGCAAGAGATGAGATAGTAGTGCCCAGGCATTTCCCTAAAGATCCCCATATACCCTATCCCTGAGACTCACGTGGTGACCTTTCCTTTCATCCTGTACCCTTTCTCTATCCCAGGGTTGGGGAATGGGGTGGGGAGCCATGTGTGGCAGGACCTTGGACTAGCATCCCTACCTTAAGTTTCACCACTACTGCTGAACAGAGCAAAGGCAGCACAGTGGCACACACCCTGTACTTGGGAGTCAGTCCTAAGGTCAGTCTTGGCTCACTAGCTGGGTGACCTAGGGCAAATTACTTCTCTGAGCCTTCATTTCCTTATCTTCAAAATGATATGGTAGTAATACCCAGTTTGCAGGATTTAGGAGAAGACTCAATTCACACGTGTCAAAGATATTCACGTACGATAAAGTGCTCTGCAAAGGAGGTGGGACTAGGAAAACCCTATCTCAATACCCTCCCCCAAAAAGCTCTAAGGAAATGGGTACTGTGATCGGGCCTTAAGGAAGGGAACAAGAAAGGCACCTGGTAACCCCTTCAGGACCAAACATCCTTCCCTCCACCAGGGTGCCAGCTACCTGAGGCCAGGGACAAGGACCCACCTTCAGAGAAGGTAGATGCATCAGTGCTAGATGTCAACCCAGGCAGCAGATGTCTTCTCTCCCAGCTGGGTAACCTGTTTACATCTGAGAGAGTACAGAGCGGCAGTGGCAACAGCCGCTCCCTACCCATGCCACTTGTTCATCAAATGTGTCCTGAGAAAGTCTGGGCCCTGCTGCATCATAGAGATATAGAGGCTTTTTTTTTTTTTTTTGCGGTACCAGGGATCGAACTCACGACCTTGTACTTGCCAGGCAGGCGCTTATGCCACTGAGCTATATCCCCAACCCCAATACAGAGGCTTAAAAAGAACAACATAAGGCCAGGTGTGCTGTTGCACACCTGTAATCCTAGCATTTGGGAGGCTGAGGCAGAGGGTTGCCACAAGTCCAAGGCCAGCCTAAAATACAGAGCAAGATCCTGTCTCAGGAAAAAAAAAAAAAAAAAACAAACAGTCCCTGCTGTCAAAGAGCTGAAGGAAGAGGTGAGGAGAGGGATGCAGGGGAGGTTCACAAGAACAGTGTGTTGCAGATAGAGGGAGCACAGAACAAGGGTCACCTGCCCCAGACTGGAGACAGGGTCAGGGATTATGGAAGACTTCTTGGAAGAAGCATCACTGGAACTGGTGATTAGGAGTGCACTGGGATCAAGCCGAGGAAGGGCAGCTCCAGAACTTGTCCCAGGAGTGCAGAGCCTGGCCAGGGTATCCCTGGGTAGAACTCCAACTTTCTGGTGTGCTAGGGATTGAATCTAGGGCCTCACACAGATGAAGAAAGAACCCTGTCATTAAGCTGAACTCCAGCCATAGGTTTGTCCTTTGAGGATTAGAGGCTTGCTTAAGAAAAGGAAGCTAAGGGCCAGGGAGATAGTACAGTGGCACAGCGCCTGCCTGGCAAGCACGAGGTAGTGAGTTCGATTCTTGGTACCAAAAAAAAAAAAAAAAAAAAAAAAAAAAACCCACCCAAAAATGCTAATTCTAAAGCCGGGCATGGTGGCGTACACCCGTAACCCCAGCACTCAGGAGGCTGAGGCAGGAGGATCATTGTGAATTCAAGGCCAGCTGGGCTACAAAGTGAGCTCAAGGCCAGCCTGAATTGCATAGTGAGACCCTGTCTCAAAAAGAAAAAAAAAAAGAAAGAAAGGGAAGCCAGGCCAGACATACTGGCACATGCCCATAATCCCAGCACTTGGGAGGACACTGATACAAGAGGATCACTGCAAGTTCAAGACCAGCCTGGGCTACATAGTGCATTCAAACCCAGCACAAACTACATAGCAAGACTTGTTTAGGGAAAAAAAAAAAAAAAAGAGAAGAAAAGCTGATTACACAGGGTCTTCAGCAGCACTTGGTCATCCTTCAACAGGTCCTGGTCAGCTCCTCCGGTTTTCCATAGCAGAGTAAGTACTCAAAACATATTAAGTGAACAAATGACTTCAAGCACTTTCCGAGGAACTCCTGCACTGCTACTATTCCTCTTGGCAGATAATTTCACCATCACATCCTGTGACTGCTTCTACCCACTTCAATTCCAGCTTGGGGATGAGGTATCCTTCCATCATCATGCCCAAAGCATCTATACTATAGGTACCGCCCAGAATCTCACCCTCTTCTTATTTATTTACAGACAAGTTCTCATTAAATCGTCCGGGCAGGACTCTAACTTGGGCTCGTGCCTCAGCCTCCCTAAGTGCTAGGATACAAGTGTGCACCTGCTCACCTTCTCCCTCTACTGGCTGTCACTGCCCACCTCCCTTTACAGGCTATCAACATCTCTTTAAACAAAACATTCTTTGCAGGGCAGTTGCAGAGCTGGGGATTGAACCCAGGGCCTTGTGCATACTAAGCAAGATTTCTATTGAGCTACATCTTCAGCCCATTTTATATTTTTTTTGAGATAGAGTCTCACTATGTAGTTCAAGCTGGCCTTGAACTCACTATATAACCCAGGCCAGCCTGGAACTCATGGCAATTCTTCCTCAGCCTCCAGAAGGCTGGGATTACAGGTCTGTGCCACCACACCAGGTAAAATTTTGTTTTTTTGAGACAGGGTCTTACTATGTAGTTCAGGCTGGCCTCAGCCTCTTAAATAAAACATTCTGTCAATGCTGTTTCTCTTTTGGCCACTGCATAGTCTCTTTATCCTTTCCTTTCTTTCTTTCTTCTTTTTTTTTTTTTTGGTACCGGGAATCAAACTTATGACCTTGCGCTTGCCAGGTTGGTGCTGTGCTGCTAGGCTATATCCCTGGCCCCCAAAAAAGCACCTTCTATTTTTTGCGGGGGTCACCGGGAATAGAACTCAGGACCTCATAGTTTGCCGGGCAGGTACTGTGTTGCGGAGCTACATCCCCAGCTCCTCTACCTTTTTCAATACAAGAGGTTTTGTTGTTGTTGTTTTGTTTTGAGACAGGGTCTCAGAAGTTATATAGCTCAGGCTGGACTTGAACTTACTGTGTAACCCAGACTGACCTCAAACTCACAGCAATTCTGCCTCAGCCTCCCAAGTGCTGGGACTACAGGAATGTGCCACCACTTCCAGCTTCAATCCAAGTTTTTAAACTCATTCACTGAATAGGCATATTGCACAGCTCTAGTGCCCACCAGTATAGGAGGCTCAAGCTCTACCTTCAGTAAACTCAAAGACTCCCCTGCTTCTAGTCAAGCCACCTACACCACCACAGCCATCTGCCCCTTTATTAGAACAGCTTAGGCAAAGGCCACCAGCAGTTTCCCATAGGCAAACCCAGTGGCCTTCTTCCCCTCTCATCTCACCTGACCCTGCTAACTAGTCAATTTTTTCTTGGGCTTCCATGATGGGCCTCTCTCATCTTTCTCTTCCTTTTCCAACTAGCTTTTTCGTTCTTTCCTACCTCAAATGCTGTATTCTTTTCCTCTGCTGTACTCTTACACTGGTGACTTAGCAGGGTTGTCTTTGACTACCCGCTGTACGGTTGGACTCCACAAGCTTGGCCCAGATAAATAAAATGACATACACCAGAGCCGGGCATGGTGGTGCACGCCTGTAATACCAGAACTCAGCAGGCTGAAGCAGGAGGATCATTGTGAGTTTGAGACCAGCCTGGGCTACAAAGTGAGCTCAAGGCCAGCCTGAACTGCATAGCGAGACCCTGTCTCAAAAG